ATCTTGTTCATCGGAAAAAATTTTTGTGTAAAGATGCCTCATGAGTTAGACCAGTCTGACAAGTCATACCGAATGACCGTGACTGAGTTTTCTTTTCCTTGTACACAGCGAAAAAAAATTTTATGGGATCTTGTGGTTGGTAGCGAGTGGTGGAGTCCTGGCGTACATCATGCACATGTCCCTTGCAGGATCTCTCAAACAGAAACGTAGGCTGCTTAGCCAAAGGAAGATATGCATGGGATAAAGATTTCAATGTGTTATTGGTGGGACTTCAAAGCGGTATTACTGGATACTAGCACCATAGTAAGGACCACAGTCTACCTTAATCGACTCCAAAATATGGATGACGTCACTCTTGAATTCATTCAGAAATACTTAATTTTTCTCTACTACTCGGCAATGCGAAGACCGTATGTGGTGATCAGGCTACGCCAAAAGATCATGGATTGCGATCAGAGAATGCGACCGTACCCAGGTTATTTAACAAAGTTAGCAACCTCTAATTACCACCTCCTTTGGTCCCTATCGCATCCTTTAAAAAGCAAAAATTCCGAAAATCGACCTCAACTCGAGAATGAAGTCCACCTCTTCTTTTTATCATAGTTTCCGTAGTTCTATGAGAATGGAAATGAGAAGCTGTGCAAAAGAAAGGCACTAGTCCTAGTCATCAACTGCGGTTACCTTGTGAATTGGAGATGTCTTTTAGTGCAGAAAATTTAGTCCGAAAAATTTGGTCAAAGTGTCGCAGAACTTTTTGAACAACCAAACAGAATGCGAGACTCTGCCGTCGATGATATGGCCATGTGATCCGCGCAAGAGCGGACACTCTGAGATTTGTCTCCAGCTTGAGAAGTAACACACTGCACGCGGGATTTGAACATAGTTGGCGCTCACCCTAATCAGGAATACAACAGAGAGAAAATGCGCGACAAAAAGATAAGCGGACCCCACCACAGAAGGGGACAACTCTGAAAAATAAGAAGATTCACGAGCGATAATGTCTTTCGTGCCCTATGCATTCCAAGCATCCATGTACGCTAATTCCTCCATGCTCCGCCCGATACCTTTTTGCGGCACAGACTCCTGTTCATGCTAATCCATGCGAAGATGATGACGAGGGCAACTCAGGAGTAACTGTGCAGCTTCTTCAACATCCCACAGAGGCCGCGCACTCCCCCCAAACATGACAATAAAACGGTCTAAGCTTTTCACTCGTTAGTGTAATACAAGCAGAACGCCATTTCCTGATGGGAATAACATTTGAGGTGTTGCTCATGCTTCAATTTCCGAATGGAAAGTATTGAAGATGATTAAGATTAGAAATGAAGAACAACGAATGTAGATGTGAATAGAACAAAAATGACAAAATAAAGGAAACGCAAAATAATTGAAATCGCGTGCAAATTCCTGCGACCCGGTGCGGATTCGGCTCCAGAGCCATAGAAACACTTTACACTAAAGAGTGGAACGCTCAGGCCGTTTTTATTTTCATGTTTCGTGGAAATGCGCTGCAGCCAAGGGATATTGCAAGAGCAGCACAGATGTTCTTGAGTTCTGGCCCTCGTCATCATCTTCGCTTCTTATTTTGCAGCACCTAGAATGTTATCCGCATCAGGAAATTGCGTTTAAATTGTATTTCAAAGCGCAATTAAAGAAGTACCAAGAGAGCCGCACGCGACAAAGCGCGCACGGCGGATGTTAGCATGAACAGGAATCTGCGCCGCAAAAAGGTATTGGGCGGCGCCTGGAGGAATTAGCGTGTTTCACAGTCCTGTATCTCTATTCCTGGGCATGTTAGAACGAGGAACGCTACGCTCTAACAGCGGGGGCTTATAGTCGCACGCACCTAAACTATGTGTAATCGTATCATGTGTCTTCAATTAATGATATAAATCGTGTGGAAAAAAGAGGACATCACAAAAACTACAGGCTTTTAAAAAAGTTTGTGAACAATGTTTCTGCGTTTCTCTGAAGACCTTTGATCGCTACTGTATCTTCTTCAAAACGTTGACGCACCGCACATGCCTTAGACGCTATGTCAAATTTCGCAGAATGACTGTGCAGTTTCACAGAGAGTGCTATTCCTGCCATCCTTGACCACAATGGACACCATTCCAAGCGATCTTTCCAATTACGTACTAGCTCCTGCTTCTTTGGTTATTTTCTGCTTTTCTGCTTACACAGTGAGTCCTAGACGGCCATACTAACACTTTTTTTTCGATAGGCGCTATTCAGATCTCCGCTGAGGCCAAGCCCGAAAGTGTTGTTTTCTTCCCGCCCGCTTAGCCCTCAGAGTGAGGACAATCAGGGTGTTTTACGTAAACTGGTGCCGAAAATGAACACTATGCTTCTTATCAAGAAGTCAAACATGCGCAGTGCGCACGTTACCACCGAGTTCCGCTGATAAAAATGCGATGCTAAGTTGGCGCCCACCGGCGCCAGATTGTGCCCTAAAGGGAAGCACATGATGTGATGAAGATGTCAAATAACCCACGCGTAGAAGCTTATGTACAATTCAGCACCACAAAAACCAATGGCACTAAATTGGCGACTGTTGGAGCCATATGGCGACTGCACTACAAAGCAATAAGGAATCTGCCCTAAGCATGTCGAGTAACCCGGTCATGGAAGTTTATATCGTATCCGGTGCCAAAATATACTGCTAGCGCAAAAATGGTTATTTGGCGTCGACGCCAAATACGACGTGACATTCTTGGTCAGAACGAGCACTCATCGTTCAAGGTTTAATTCAACAAGAATTAGCATGGTAGCAGCTAGTCTAAAAATTCCAATTTTCAACAGGGCACAGCATTCGATGGGGATTTTGGTGAAGCCCGTACGACCCCCCCCCTTTTTTGGGGGTTCGGTACGACCCCCCCCCTATACCTAAACTTATGAAGTTTCTTCCCCCTCCCCCCCCCCCCCCGAGGAGGAAGAAACTTCATAAGTTTATGTATAAGTAAGCGCGAAAAATGGAAAAAGTAACAATCCTGAATGAGGCCCCCCTCGCTTTTTGCTCATTTCTATCCTGATTCAGAAAAGAGAATAGAAAAGAAAGGCCATTAGGTTTCACCCACCTTTCCTCGAGTCAAAACAAACTCTGGTACCTAAATCAATTGCAATTAAAAGAAAAAAAAACAGGAAATCAAGCCAATTCCTCCTAAGAGCACTCTGAGCGGTCCAAGCAAAATTGCTGGGGCGCGCTCTGACGTGTATTCGAGTAAACTAGAAGAAGATAAATATTCGATATTCGAATAAACCGAGAAGAAGATAAACACGAAAGAGTAAATACGAACGAGAGCAAACCAGCCGCAATCAGCTGATTAAAGGCCGGGGGAGGGATTCTGGGCAGGACCAGCCATGTGGAACGCGAGTTTTCAGCAAAGTGGGGTGTCTTTGAAGGACCATAACTTCCTCAAAGCGGACCTGTGGGGAAGAGGAGACCGTATTCGTGTAGAGGAAGGTTTGCACTTCCTAAAAGTACTGAAACGTTTATGAAGGTCGCAAAAATCACAGAGAAATCTGCCATGGGGATTCGTTGGGGAGTGATTTCAACTGAACAGGTTTGAATCAATATATTTTTTTTGTAACTCAACATTTCACAAATCTGAGAACGGTTTCGAGTGTTTGAAGATTTTCTCTTTCTAAAAACCTCTTGAACTGTTTCTGAAGTTCTCGGGATTCATGAGATCTCGCGATGGGGATTTCTTGGGGAACACTCCCAGCTGCGCGAAAAACCCGTTTCCTGTGTACCGTTTCAAGTGAGCGTGTTCGAATAACCAGGAACGCATGAAAAACGTATCCTGTGGTGGAGCAGGAGCAGAATATGGTTCGTTTAGCGCCGATCACGCTGACTTTGGATGCGCCGCGCACTGAGGTCCGCGCAGAAGTGATGGGATGGTGCAACTTGTGCGTAATGTCTGTCCACGCGAGCAAATGTGTCTATAGGGTTCAGGGAGGTCCATGGCGAGCCTGTGCACTTGTTTACAGTGTTTTCCGTTGCGTATGATGGAACATGTCCCTGTCGAGATTCGTGCTCCGCCAATTGCTGACTCCGATAAAGGAGACCAACTGCTGGAAAACGTCTATACGAACGATATGGTAGTCCTGTCGCTTGTCGAGAAAAAAACAGGTTGGCTCAGCGCCAAGCGCGACCGCGGACACGCCATATCATTGGCAGCGAACCAGAGTTTGAGTTGTACTGTTTAGTCACCAACGGACTTACGAGATAATGTCGACTTATTAATATTTGCAGTTATTTCGGATTAGTTTGATGAATGAAAGTTTTGTACTATTTTTTTGCATATCCGAGTTCTCTACAAAGCAAGTTTCGCTGTACAGGACTTCAGCAC